GTGATGACACACATGCAGCCGGTCTTGACACTTCTTGTCCAGTACTGCCGTGCCTCGATCGGTTGAAACGACATGGTAACATCAGCTGGAAGGTGCAGATGGTCTGCAAGCCATTCAAACTCTTCTGTTCTGACCAGAACCTGTGGCTTTTCAACCGCAGTTAGAAGCGCTAAACTGCATCGACGATGTTCCGAAACATCGGTGGGGGCGGTGTAACAGGATCTCCACAAACAGGTCACTGTTCGGACAATTAGCTGGCATGATAACGTGGAAGGTTATATGCAACCATGCACCCAACAGCTTGCAGGCTTGCAGTTCGCTCCTTCCGAAGCTGCTTGATGTCCGCCTCAAGCGTGTTTTGCTCCTGGAGACGAAAAAGGTCTGCACTGCAGTTCACAGCCGAAAGCTGTCCGCGCATGAACCAACCCTTGGATCACTCTCACAATGTAATGTGGACAGCAGCTTGATCAGAAAATATAACTAGCTATCCACCCATGTATCCACACTTTGTGCATAAACATGCATGCTGCTGCCATGTGCGTTGCATCGCTGCCGAGCATGGCCAGAGTCGAATCCTCTGGATGGGCCGGGTGCTGAGTCCGACTCGACATGTCACTACTATATTATAGTATATTATATTCTAGTATATGATAGTATATTATAGTATATTATAGTACAGTATCGTATGTTATACTATAGTACACCCAGCCCCTTCCATTGTCTTGAAACCTACTTCAACTCCCGCTCCTGCTGCTTCACCTGTAGGTCTAGCAACCTCACTCAGGGTTCGCTGTTCGCGACTGATGACCACGGGCGCTCTGCACTGACATCCAGCAGATAGAGGGTTCCCATTGAGTTCCAGAAAGCAAGGAAGCTACACTTGTGAGGTCTGGCTGAGGTTCCTATCTCCGGACAGTATAAGACATTTAACGCTCCCTCATCCAAGGAGTCTGTGCAAACAGCACGTACGAGAAGCACACAATCAGCACTAATCACTTATCTTATCGGTAGTTGATCCTGTGATAAGCTATCTACTCTTGCAGATCCTGCATGGTCCACCATATGTTTGTTCGCAAGAACTTGACTATCATTCAGTGACGACAGGTTCCATAAACCCTGAATCAAGAATATGTCCTGCACCTTACATCGCGAAACCGCCACTGAACCGCAATTCTGAACTCCAAACCCGAAATCCTTGATACAAACCCAAACTTGAAACCCGAGACTCCAGCACCTCACTAAAAGCCACCATTTTGCCGCTTCGGAGCAGCCGCCGCCTTTCCTCCTCCAGCCGATGGTAAGCCTCGTTCGGGGAGACGCCATCGGCAGCGCCTGGAGCGCTGTGGAAGAAACATCTCGGGTTAGGATTTGTGGTTGGCTTTTGGGGGATTTCTGGGGCTGGGGACTTCTTGGCAAGTTGAGACTTCGCAATACTCGCAAGGGCAAGAACAAGATGCTCTGGGCCACTCGATGGACCCTTTATAGGGCTTTCGAGCCCAGAACCCAAAGCATCGCAGAACGCAAGAAACGAAAAAAGAACCCACAACTAGCTTCGAAATCAGCACTGTAGAAATGTGTAATCTACGAGGACCAACTCGCCGGTAGCTTTAGGACGTCGGGGCTAGGAGCATAAGACTTGAACCCCAAAGCATCCTACATTTCCTTTCGTACGCACTCTCGGCAGACTGAAAGGTATCTGTGCCGCCGGCAGTCTAGTCTAGCCTTTCCAAGCCTAACCCTAAGGGTCCATGTACTCATATAGGATATACATGGGCCCTAAAGTACCTATGTAGGGACTACATTCAGGCCAATGTATATACTATATGAGCACATGGACCCTTAGGGTAACACCAGGGCCATGAGCTGAGGCTCTGTGAGGGCGAGTGCGACGCTCCCCACTTGCACGCGAAGCTGTCGGAGCAGAGTGTTCGGAGTGGCCGCCCTTCGGCCGCCGAAGGGGAGGGTGGTCCTCAGAGCAAACTGGAAACTACGCCCTAAACACAGTCAGCGAGTTGTGCATCAGGGACGAACGAGGTCTTATATGTGTTCGAGGACTTGGAATTGCTGAGCTGCAAGGACGTCGAGCCAAAAAATGACAACCATGACCAACCGTCACAGTGCTCCGACTCCACTAATCCATGACCACTATCCACTAGTGTTCACTAGTGTCAGTGCCACCACCATCACGACCGCGTGCACTACCACTGGCAGGAAAGGGGGATCCTATATCCAATCGTCGACCAGACTACAACATGCCTCGCAACAGAGCGCTTGAACATCAATGATAATCACGGCTGTGCAGATGCTTTTGCGAAGGAGCGCTTGCATCCTTACCCATAGGCCCTAAAGTAGTTCCTTTTGGGGGCTCATATATAGAATCCTATAAGGTAACCCCCAAAAGGAACTACCATGCGGCCTATGGGTATCGACTGATATCGTAACCAGCAATATCGGTTCAGGCCGCGGGGCGGAGGCTTGTGGCGAACCGCGTTGCTGCAGCGATCGCTGTGATCCCTGCAGCCGCGCATCCATGCAGTTGTCAAGCCTGGGCTGTCGAAGCAAAGTCATGTAGGGGCCTAAATAAGTCTGATTATAAGCAAAGTATCATGGGCCCTAAAACCCTATTCCAACTATTCAGGCCCCTATATTACTCTGCCAAGTGAGGATTAAGGTGCTTCGATCTTGTGATTTCTGAGTCGAGCCCATGGATTTCAGATCGCATGCTTCCTGCACTGAAACTTCCCGGCGAAAACTCGATTTGAGCAAGCCAACTTTCAAGAATGCGTGTCTCTTAACCTCACCAACTTCCCGACCGAAAGAGGCCACCTGAGCCTCCTGCCTGCAAAAGATGACCTTCAGAAGCCAATGTAACCACACAGCCACACCCCCAGCCTGCACTGCTAGGCGCGATCTTTGCGCTGCCCATTCCGCATGGCTATCGTGGAGAGGTAATGCCACACATCTAGCAAGAATGCTGAGCTGTGCCGCCAACCAGAAGCCTCATGCGCAAAACATACTTATGAGGGATTTAACAAGTTCGCACAGTCCTTCGAGCCATGAGATGTATCAACAAGGCAGCACAGTGCCACGACTCGAGCTGGGATAGGATGGAAAGACTGACGCTGCTGGGCACAAGGCATCGTGATAAGCATAAGGTCACATGCAAGTCGTAATCTGCAAGATGGACACGACATGTTTCGAACTGTCTTCCACCCCGTTGAAGGCGTTTCAACAGACCTTCTTCAAGCTCACCCAAAGCTCTAGCTCACCACTGGACCGACAAAGGTATGCCTTTTGCCATTCACTCTTTGCATACCTTTTGCCATTCACTCTTTGGGCTGGCTACCTCCACCTGAACTAATTCGATAAGCACCCCGCCATCTCGAGACCGATCATCCTGAAGAGCACCACTCGGCTCTCGACAACCCTAACGGCTGGCCCTGAACACAAAACACAAGCAGAAGTTCGGCCCTAAGCCCACCTTCTCTATTACTATCTTGCTATCATAGGTCTTGAAACAAAGCTATCCACCTCTCCACCAATAGTTCTGTGCATATATATATATATACATATTATATATATATATATATATGTATATATATATATATATTTCTAGTATCATGGTGAGATTGCTTTGTGAGTCATCCAAGCCCCGGCACAGCCCTGAGCGCACCCGCCAGCAAGGCCCGGTCGACGAACGGACCGAAGCAGTTGCTGGGGCTCCATCAAAGCAGAGACCTCAACGGAGAATGGTTTAGGAGCTTAGAGCCTTAGGGGTTTAGGGTTCATAGGAGCTTGGGTTTAGTGGTTTAAAGGTTTAGGGTTTATAGGGGTGTGGGAGTTAGGGTTTAATTATAGGAAAGAAGACCTCGACGGCCCCAAAGGTTTACGGGCAGTGTTTTTTGGCCTCAGGGGTTTAGGGCGCAGGGATTTAGGACTTTGCGAGCCTGTGCGTCTACGTAGGTCTTATAGGCCTTGGGGTTCGGGTTTACAGGGCTCCTCGTGAATCACCTGGAGTTTAGGGTTTTTCTCGTCGGCATGGCCTTAAAACAGTTTCATGGGCTACCTGTAGCCTCCAGTGTAGTTCCTTTTTTGGGTTAACCGACTATATATTAAGGATTTTATAAGGCATCCCCGAAAAGAACTACGATGGAGACTATAGGTATATGGCCTGTATCGAACTGCGAGTAAATGCTGTTGCGTTTGGTCTAACCGGTGGCAATACTAACCAAGCAATATCTGAGCAGTACATGTTTCTAGGCCGTATTAACGCATTATAATTTGGGCAAGTATGTTAATCTATCTTATCTGTAACATCGGTAAAGAAATGCTGGTTGGTCCTCATATGTAACTCCGTTTGCCCAAATTAAATTGAATGCATGAAACAGATTCGGGAAACTAATGATGGGTTGAGTTGCGATGCTCATTCTTTAGAAAACAAATTTCACATGCATGTTGTCACCAAGCTAGTTAGTTTCGGAGGCATGTCGTTTTTTTCTGCAAAATCCCCAGAAGCTAGCATCTTTCCGCCTTGCCTGTACCGCGGTTACTCTAGGCAGGGAGCAGGGTCACGGCAGGGAGCAGGCTCACAAACCGATCCTCCAACTTTGCTCAAGCTGGATTATATGTTCCCGCGAGCCACAGCTCATGGCGACGCAGAAACCTGGTCAGTTGATTGGATACCTTCGGTAATGCGTCATGCTGGCCTATTCATGAGCTCATTTTCGGTTCGTTGTTGCCGAATCGTACACATCTAGGCAACTATGTTCACATTAAATGTGGCTTCTAGCCCCGGCACTGGTCATGCTGCTGAACACTTCGGTCAAGCACAGGTTGAATAGCTATTAAGTACAGTATAGTCTGTCCAGCCTGGGCACAACATTCACATGCTGAATGACAAAAATCTACAAGACATAATTACTAAGGACTAGTTACATCACGATCCAAAACTGCACTATCCCTCAGTTTGCGCAAAGCGCAGACCCTCCTTGGGCTTTGGCACTGCTAAGTGTGGATCCCGGAGGCATCGTCGAGGCATTTGCGCGGGCATAGCTGGGAGAACCTTGCGGATCGCAGCGCTGCACCATGCAGCCAAAGTTGATGGTGCTACCCTAACCCTCCAGGTACCTCCTATATAGGGCCCCAGGGGCTCTAGTACCCTATATAGTAGGTAACTGGGGGGTTAGGGTAACTGGCCACAGACAGGAAGAGGCTTGGTTGAATCGAAAGACCCCGTTGGCCTGAATCTGATGCAGACTCGGGTTTGGGGTGTAAGGATGTCCTCTTTCAAAGGGCTTCTCGATATCTCACGCCCCTTGCTCAGGCAAACGTGACGAAACCCAACAGCCCAACTAAAGCCTCGGGATCCCACTTCGAACGCGGACCCCTGAACTGCCCGTGAGGGAATCAGTCGACTTGGCAGGGGGCACAGGAACATTGCACTTTTGAAGTGATTACCCATAGGCCCCATAGTAGTCCCTTTTTGGGGTCCATATTTAGAATCCTATAAGGCAATCAATCCCCAAAAAGGAACTACCATGGGGCCTATACCCTAAACCCTAAACCCTGAACCCTAAACCTTAACCCTATAAGGTAATCCCAAAAAGGAACTACTCTGGGGCCTATGGGTATCTAAATATGAACCCCAAAAAGGAACTACTATGGGGCCTATGGAACTACTATGGGGCCTATGGAACTACTCTGGGGCCTATGGGTAGTGCCCTCGTCTCTTGGAAACCCTACCTGGGTCCCCAGGAGCAGGCCGATCCGGAGCACGGGCCAGGCCAGAACGCAAACGGTCGACCGGGACGTCCTCTCGTTTTGGTTTAGGGTTTAGGGTTTAGGGTTTAGGGTTTAGGGTTTAGGATTTAGGGTTTAGGGTTTAGGGTTTAGGGTTTAGGGTTTAGGGACGGCTTGGGTTCCTAGTAGACGGCAGGCATGCATCATAGGGACCCACTCTGAGCGATATAAGGACGTACCTACCAGTATCTCAGAAGTGGCAACTTCAGTAAGTAACATTTAAACGTGAGAAGTCGGCCCTGCCCACATGCCTGAAACCGACCCTTAATTACTCTGCCGACCCAAAGCGGAAAGCACAAACCCACGTTGCAGGGCTTCAAGTGTGGGTGCCACAGGGTCCGTGGAGATGGGAAGTGCTTGCAAAAGAAGTTTATGCGCATGCTTTTCGGCTAGTTATAGTTATAATGTTGGAAAGAAGCTGAGCTGACGCCAAGTTCAACCAACTTCTCGGTGCTCCTGCTTCACATCCAAGTTGTAGTTCCCGGCCGGTGTCATGGATATCACCTGCCGCAGGGATATGTTTACTGTTCAAAGAAGCGCACTCTGTGAGAATCTCCTCGATCGGGTTGCTGCTTGTTTTCTTAGAGGCTTACAGGCATCAATGCCGTGCCGTGCTTTGTGTCATATACATCCTAAGGCAAATTGTGATGCCGAGTATGAAGCAGTTCACACCGTGCTGAGCCAATCGCGGATTATGATAAATCAGGCCGGCTGTTGGGGACGACAAACGGGTGATGCCGCAATGGTGAGGGAAGAAGCTGCAAACATGTCAGTGTAGGTTCCTGTGCTCCTTTCGAAGCTCAAAAGGTATTCGCAGCAGCTCCGCAACCTCAATTCCCTGGCAAGGCATGGAAGTGGAATCTACAGTGAACCCAGCAGAGTCAGAGGACAGTGAGCATTCCACCGTGTCTCTTGATGCATAAACTTGACTGATCTATCGAATTAGCACTTGCACGTGCGTGTGGATCCTGCGGGTGCATTGGGTGGCTGGTTCCAGGGGTTGGTGTCTAGCCGCCGGCACTCCTCTGAGAGCTTGCCTAACTTATCACATCTGTGCCGCTTGACATGAAGAACGAGAAAGTATGCCTGTTTCTGGCCTGGTTGATGTACCTCCGATGTAGCCCTAAACCCTGTAAACGCTAAACCCGTACCCCCTAAACCCTAAACCCTAATGCCCTAGACCCTTAAACCCTAAACCCCTAAACCCCTAAATCCCGAAACCCTAAACCCTAAGCCCGAAACCTAAACTTCCCATGGGTTTCAGATCACCGCTCGAGCCTGGCCTTGGCTGAGATCCAGCGGCTTTGGCTTGCCCCAAAGTACTCGACCTGGTCCCCGATGTTGTACACGGGGCCTGAAAGCATACTGTTTAGGGTTTAGGCACAATAAAGGAAGAATAAAAGAATGATCACGATCATTAATGAAATTCCAAAGGAATAGAAAAATAATGATTCGAATCAGAGTCATCATAAAAGAAATCAACAAGAATCAGTAGCGCTTCTCCGGAAGCTGCCAGGGGGTTTACATTGCCCCGTAGCCTTCGGGTCTGGAAAGTGTGGGCTTAATCATGCAGTGATATAGGTAGTTCTCTAAATTAGGGTCCCTCTTAGGGTCCTTTTTATAAGGGTGCCGTGCTATATTGGGGACCTAAAAAGGGCACCCTAATTTAGAGAACTACACATGTCAAGGTCGGAAGGACGAGCAATAGTATCCCTTGTTTCCCCTGTGTAAGTTCGCCACAATATACCCCCAAAGCTTAAATCCAATCATTCTGGCCAGTATATTGGCAACCCTTCTGGGCAGAAAGGACTGTTTCGAAAGGAATGGAAACCGGAATAGTTGTTACTATTTCATTGTAAAACCGGGTATATTATGCCACAAACCCCATTGTAATCATTAAGGCTCCCAGAGTACACTATACTATACTTATATATGGTGTACTAAACCCCACAACCCTAGCTTCGAATCCTAAACCCAAGTTCCAAGTCCGGCGGGTGTGACAATGCGGCGGTCAACATGCACATCGTGACACACGCACACACACACACACACCTAAGAAGAATAAGAAAATATATGCTGCTGAAGAGCTTCGCAAATACTACTGCGATGCGATGACTGGCATGCTTGCTGGTGCTGCTGCTTTTTTGCGACAGCTGCCCTGCGCACCCCCAACCGGAAAGGCAGGCACCACTAAAATCACACGAGACCGAGCTTTACTTACACGGTAACATGTCTTGAGAAGACCCGATATATGGACCACTCTGGAGCCAAAATCGCCAGGTAAGCTTAACGCTACAGCCAAGTAAAACAACAGTATAAATAAACACTCCAACTCAGACTAAAGCCACGACGCGGTGACGGCCACTGCGACTCGCATGACTGAGCTCTTATTGAAATAGAAGACTTACTAAACTGCTGCCATGACTTCCAGTGCACGGAAATGCAGATCATCTGTAACTACGGCGAACTACGGCCACAAGTACTACACACGGCAAGTACCATCCTCCGGTTACATCAGGCACACTCATAGCAGAGGGTGCTCAAGAAACATGGAACTTGATGCATGAACCGTTTGCTTCAAAGATCTGTGACGATGGCCTCTCTGCGTTCCTGGAGGGCTTGCCTGCATGCGCAAGGACTCAACGGCTTGCGATTTTGAAGCATGGTACGTCAGAGCACGGCTGTATATGGAACAGGGTCAGTATCCGGATCGCAAAGGGTCCCAACACACATGCACACACAAAAACACAGACCAAAATCAAAACCAACACCAACAACACTACCACTACCACTGCTGCTACGACGGCAACTACTACGACTACGACTACGAC